TAATTAATATCCCATACAATTCACCCATTTAAAGTATATAACTGGATGTGTTTCAGTATATGCACAGGATGTGCAACCATCAACACAATCCAATTTTAGGTCACATTCATGACCACTCACAAAAGAAACCTCATTAATAGTCTTCCCATTCCCCTCCCCACCTACCTCTTCCAGCCCTAAACAACCACTAATCTACTTTCTGTCTCTATGGATTTGCCTGTTCTGGACATTCATATAAATTGAATGATATATTTGCTATTTTTCATCTGTCTGCTTTCACTTAGCATAATCTTTACAAAGCTCATCTATGTCATGGCATGTATCAGTAGTTCATGAATTTTTATTGTCAATGTTGTTCTATTCAAATGTTATTTATTCTTTCATCAGTTAATGGACATGAGGACTATTTCTGCTCCTGGGCTATTATGGATAGTGCTGCTGCTAACATTCACATCAAATTATATTTGAGAGGCAAGCAGGTGGTGTAGTGGTTAAGGCGCTGGACTCCCACATGGCTGGCTGACTGCAGTTCATGTCCCAGACTCGGCAGCTTGAAACATGCCAGGCGCATGCGTGTGCATGCCCAAAAGCTCAAGAGGAGCACGGAAGAGAAGAGATCACAGTATGGCCATCCTCCTGGGCAGGGGAGTGATTTCTCACATTCTGTCTCTGTTTCTCTCTGTCTCCCTGGAAAGCACACATGCCCTATAGCAAAAACCTCTCTGGGGAAAAAAAAATATATATATACACACACACACACACACACACACACACACACACACACATATTTGAGACTTTTTTTTAAAGTTAGTCAAGGTAATTTTTTTGTGTTAAAAGTAATAATCTAGGTTTATGCACTAAGAGTCTTCAGTTTTTGCCAGAGGGCATGTGTGTTCCACAGAGAAAGAGGGAGAAAGTACCCAATGGGACACAGTCATGCTGCAATCTTTTCTCTTCCAGTTTATCGGGATTTTGGGGCACACATGCAAACATGCCAGGTATGTCTTTCAAGTCAAAGGGTCAGGATTCGAATTGCAGTAGAATCCAGCTCCCTTAACCACTAGGCATTTTTTTTTTTTTAATAATTATTTTATTGGGAACCAGCAGTTAGCGTAATGGCTACGTCGCTGGACTCCCACGTAGTCGACCACGGTTCGTGTCCTGGACCCGGTGGCTTAGAACTCACGCCGGGCGTGTGTACATGAGTGCCCAAGATCCTAAGAGGAGAATGGAGGAGAAGGGATTGCAGTATGGCCATTCTCCCTGGGGGGATGATTTCTCACTTTCCTTCTCACTGTGTCTGTCTCTTTCTCTCTCTCCAGAGAGTGCACACGCCCCAAGGCAATAACTTCTTTAAAAAAAAAAAATCAGTTTTGGCATTTCACTTTTTTTTCCAATTTTTTAAAATTTAATTTTATTTATTCATTCATTTGTTTTAATTTGACCAGAGAGAGACAAAGAGGGAAAGTGAGAAAGCAAGCCACCAGGCCCAGGACTCAAATTGTGGTTGGTCATGTGGGAGTGTCCAGCGCCTTAACAACCGTGCCACTGGGCACTTCACTTTTAAAAATATATAGAGTCTCAGGACCAGCAGATGGCATAATAGTTATATCACTGGACTCCCATGTAGTCAACTGCGGTTCAAATCCCGGACCCGGCGGCTTAAACTCAAGCTGGATGCGTGTGCATGCGTGCCCAAGATCCCGAGAAGAGAATGGAGGAGAAGGGGTTGTAGTGTGGCCATCCACCATGGGGGGTGATTTCTCACTTTCTGTCTCTCTGTCTCTCTCTGTCTTTCTGGTGAGCACATGCACCCTATAGCAAAAACCTCTCACCAAAAAGAAAAAAAAAAGAAAAGAAAAAGAAAGAAAGAAAGAAAAGAAAGGAAATACAGAGAGAGTCTCAAAAAAATTGGAGTGACCAGCTTGCACTTGACCTCTGAAAGGCTGTGTTAATGCCTCTAACAAAACAAGCTCATCTCATTTAACCATACAACAAACTCTGAAGAGTCAGAAAAACTGTCTTATACTCGTGGGCATATTAATGATGTCTGCTAGTATGTGAATTCAGTAAGTGTTTGCTGACAGTATATAACAGAACACCAGGAAGTGAAAGGGCAGGGTGAGAGGATCAAGTGATAGACACCAGGAGGTCCTGGGAGGGGGAGAGCAAATTCTGACACAGGTGCTTTCTTTCCGACCTGCAACTCCCTCTCTGCTCTTGGTCTGGTCTGTTGCAACGTTCGCTAAGGGATGCTAGCTTAGAAGGAAGGCATAAACCAATAGAAACATGGATTGCGGTTGAAAATAAACATTTTCCCTAAATTTTGGCTTAGAGAAGGTCAGCTGGGTGTTTCTCCCACATGTTGGGCCAAACAGCAGCTTCCTTCAGAAAGTCAGGATAGGAATTAGTCACTTGTTTAATCAATTAGTGGTTAAGGAATGTCTGTGGCAGGAGAAAGGAAAAGATGAAGAGCAATGAAAAGGATGCAAATGAGACATTCTTTGTTTGAAAAGGGAATCACCAGGCTGGGTGGCATGGTGGCTAAAGGAGCTGGACTCCCACATGACTGACTACAGTTTGAGTCCCGGACCTGAAGGCTTGCTTTCTAATTTACTCTCCCTTTCTGATCAAACTGGAAAATAATAATAATAATAATTAATAAAGTTAAATATTTTTTTAAAAAAAGAAAAGAGAATAACCTACAAATGCCCCAGCCAGGAAGAACAGGTAGAGCCTTCATAAAGGATTTGTAAGATTTCTGGAGTGTTTTGTCCTTGTTTTGCTCATATGGATGGATTAGCGAATCATAAAGGTAAGAAAAACAGATGTCAGCTTCTCTATTGTGAAAAAATAAGTGAACCACTCTGGAAATGAGAGGGGGGAAAAAGAGCTGTTGTGGACCCCTGCCACGCTCATTCCATCCTCCAGCCTTTTTTTCCTTCACCTGGAAGGTCCTCCCCCTTCCCTTCTGCTTGTCCGAAGTCTTGTGCTGTCTCAGAGCCAAAGCAGATGCCTGTGTCTCCAGGATGACTCTCCCCTCCGCTCCCCTGAACTTCTACAGCATGTGGCTGTGTGCTGCGTAATTCCCACGAGATGAAGCATATTGTCTGGGAAAGGTTCTTGAATGTGTGTCTTATAAAACCCCTTGTAAACTCCTCAAGGACAAGGGTCATTTCTTCTGCTGCTGCTCCATCTTCCACAATGCTGACGGCCTTCTGGACCCTCGGCACGGCCTTGCTGGCTGCTGGCTGACTGAAGAGTTCAGTTCCGCTCTCTTGCTCTTGCCAGCAATGCAAAGAATGCACAATAAAGCCCTTTCACCATTTAATGACAAATTCAAAGACAGAGGGGCAGAGGAAGTCCTTGTACAGAATTATTCATTGTCTCCACTGTCTAGAAGCCAGATTCCAGAATCCTACCATTAGATGTGGAAATAACTTTGATATATGTGATGGTATTTTTTAGATTAGTATTTTGCTTAGATAGAATGCGTAAAGTAATAATTAAAAATACAAGTTACACGAGTCAGAAGATTTTCTGTTACTCAGTTAACTGATACCACCCCCAAAGTTCTTTTTCTTGAGTCAGAAGATTTTGTTACTCAGTTAACTGATATCCCCTAAAGTTCTTTTTCTCCCCATGATTCACACCTGTGAGGGGCTCATGAGGGAAACTATTGGTTTTAATATTCTAAAGATAACAGTGAGACTGGAAGAGAGGATGTGATGAAGGGAAGATGACCAAGAGAGTTTTGCATTGCTTTTTTTCATTAGCAAACATCTCGAAGCTTCTTAGTGTATAAACAGCAACCAATGTGTAGGAAAGGAAGCTAGATTCATGCTATTTTGAATTCTAGGTCTCTCCAGAATTCTCCATGACAACTTTTTGGGTAACATGGGCTTTTACAGAATCCCATTCTATGATGCAGATTGGTTTGCAACTGTCTGATGATACCTAAATCTTTTGGGCATTAAGTGCATTGAGGCTCCTCAATTGCTCCAAGATTGCTAATTCGCCTTCTTCTTTTTTTTTTTTTTTGAGAGATTTTCACTGTAGGGCGCGTGCGCTCGCCAGACAGACAGAGAGAGACATAGAGACAGAAAGCGAGAAATCGCCCCCCAGGGGGGATGGTCACGCCGCAATCCCTTCTCCTCCATTCTCCTCTCAGGATCTTGGGCACGCACGCACACGCGCCCGGCGTGAGATTTAAGCCACCGGGTCCGGGACACGAACCGCGGTCGACTACGTGGGAGTCCAGCGACATAGCCATTACGCTAACTGCTGGTTCCCCTAATTCGCCTTCTAAAACTGTAGTTGTCTCCCAAGGATTTAAGTGTGCTCACACCCATGCATGCAGTACAAAAGGGAAATGATTGTGTTTGGTTTGGGTTTTTGGTAATACTCCTATGACATGACTTCTACATTGCCCTTTGGGCTTCAGTTAAAGAATCCACTCTAGGCCCAGCCATGGTGGCATAAGTGGTAGGGCACTGCTACTTGATGCTGGAGTCCATTGAAAGGCCCAGTGTTGGGATCCTGTGTCACAGGCTTGCCTATGATCCTAGCTGGCTGGAAGACTGACAAGACTGTTAGGGTTTCCTTTCTCTGTAAATAAATATATAAGTAATTCTTAAAAACCAAAAACTGCTCTAGAACAAGACTAGACTTGTAGATTTTTCTAAAAAGTCACTTGAGGAACCAGCAGATAGTGTGGTGGGTAAGGTCCTGGACTCCCACATGATGACCACAGTTCAAGTCCCAACCCTGGCAGCTTGCTTTCTTACTTTTCCTCTCTCTGTCTCTCTCTCTTTCTCTCTTTGGTCAAATTAAAAAATAATAATAACAAATGAAATTAAATACTTTTTTTAAAGAATAAATACTTTTTTTAAAAAAGAAAGAAATCAAGTCTACTTGGTAAATAATTTTTCATTATAAACAGTGACAAGATCGTACAGTATCTATGAAAGAGACAGAATGTAAACCAGCTCCACTGCTGCCTGCATCTTGGAGCAAGAGAAACACTCAGACTAGATATGAACACCTTTCCTTCCAGAGGGAAAAGCCATGATGCTGGGAAAATACTTCTGTTTATCCTGCTAGAGAGCTGGACTGTCATATCCAAATGGCCCCATGGCCAGCCTTTTTTCCCGAGGAGTGCGTAGATCTTTGACAAGTGATGGATGACCTCTGCTTCGTATGTTTGGGCCTAGAACTGGGCTTTGTAACCAGGGATTTGGTGCACGGGGCTTCACAGGCTGCAGAGAGATATGAAAATATGAGTGCATATGCCAAACAGGTGGTCAGGCTCAAGTGAGAATTAGACCCAAAGTGAAAATCAGTCTCTCTCTCTCTCTCTCTTTTAATTTGCCAGGGGATGTGTATGCTTACCAGAGTGAAAGAGAGAGAGAGAGAGAGAGAGAGAGAGAGAGAGGAAGTGAGAAAGCACCCTTCATGGGTTATGGTCACGCCGTAATCTCTCTCCTTTTGGAGTTTTGAGCATGCATGTACATGCCAGTGTGTCCTTCGAGGCACTGAGTCCAGGACTCAAACCACGCAGTTGGCCATAAGGGAGGGGTGTCCAGTTCCCTTAACCACAATGCCACCAACAGCCCATAAAAGTCTCTTTAGCCATAGTTTGTCAAAATAGCTCTGGGGACTGCTATACTAAATAAGAAAATAGAACCCATGAGTTCAAGACCTTCCTCCCTTGATCCCAGTCAGAATCCTAATGTAGAGAAGAGGCCTGAATTGTCCACTCAAGATGGTTTGGATATGTTCAAAGTGATCTTTGGGATTAGCTTATGTTGGATGTGTTGAGATGGCCATGTCACAAGCCCTTCTCCTCCATGCTCTTCCTGGGATTTTGCAAACACACACACACACACATGCCTGGTGTGAGTTTCAAGCCACCGGGTCTGGGACTCGAACTGCAGTTGGCCACACCTTAACCATCATGCCACCTGATGCCCCCCCACACTAAATATTTAAATGTTACACATCAAGCTATTTTGTAATCAACTTGATTTGTGAAATTAAATGCATTCTATCACTTACCTTGACAAGGAGACCAGGTCTGAATTTGAAGTTCTAAAATTTTTGAGCCTTACCAGAACGTGGTGGTACAGGAAAGCCGAACTGCAGCCCACCTGCCTTCCATTTCCAACTTCATCCCACACTTTGAGTACCTCACAATTACACGTGTGGACACTCCAGGCTGTGGACATGTCCAAGCTCTGTTCTCATACTCGTGCCTAAGAGTACACATACTAGCAATGTTGCCCACCCTTGAGAAGAAAGATCTGGCCACCCAGGTCTAACAATGGGTAAGAAATTCCAGAGACTTGGATGCCTAGAAGAATGTGGTCTATAAGATAGGTATGGGCTCAGGAGGGCATGCCCATTTGGCCCATGGACTTCTTGCCCTGTGTAGCCAGAGGAAAGAACTGAACTCTTCATAGACCCCCAGAGCAGAGGCCCCTCCCAGTCTTGGATGTTACTGGTTAGGTTATTGCTCGTCACCCTGACATAAGAATACCAGGAAACCTCTCGCTGCCCACAGTGTTCATAAACTAGTGATATACCCTTAAAGTGTAGGACCATGGGTTGATAAAACGAGTCCTATGATGCCTAACATTGAAGTATGAGTGCCCAAGCTGTGAGGGACTGGAGAACTGGGGGGAGGAGATGCGTGTGACCAGACTCTGTGGAGGGTGCTATCTGGTATGCTGGGTAGTAAAAGAAAAACAAGGGTTAAATTTACAGGGCCAGAAGCTAGTTTATGGAAATTTCTTCTAATTGTCACATGTGAAAAAATTATGAAAGAAGGATTCAGTTTTTATTGATGCCTAGTCTAAAAGTTCTCTTCTGGATCAGCCTCATAGCATAGCAGGTAAGCATTATGCATAGGGAGCTGGATCCCACATGGATGACTGCTGTTTAAATTCCCACCCCATGGCTTGAAAAACATGCCAAGTGAATGTGTGTGTATGCCTCAAATCCTGATGGGATGGAGAAAGGAAGAAAAAAGAATTACAGGGGCCGGCAGCTGGTATGGAGGTTAAAGGCACTGGATTCTCATGTGGCTGACCGCAGTTTGAGCCCTGAACCTGGCAGCTTGCTTTCTTGCTTTTCCTTTCTTTCTCTGTCTGTGGTCAAATTAAAAAATAATAAAAACAAATGGAATTAATTACATAAATAAATAATTATTGTAAGAAAAGAAAAAAGAATTACATATGCTCACGCCCCATTGTGGGGACACTTTTTCTCTCTGGCAAACATATGGGCCCTCTAGCAATGAAAACAACAACAAAAACAATGCCTATTTTAAAAAGAAGAAGAAGAAGAAGAGGAGGAAGAGGAAGAGGAAGAGGAAGAGGAAGAGGAAGAGGAAGAAGAAGAAGAAGAAGAAGAAGAAGAAGAAGAAGAAGAAGAAGAAGAAGAAAAGCTTATGGGGCTGTTTCTAGTGCAGCAGTTAAGCATTGTGTGTTATTGGGATTTAGGGCCAGACAGTTCTTCATTATGGGGCTATATTGTACATTGTCGCAGGTTTTGCAGGCTCCCTGGTCTTTACCCACTAGTTGCCAGTGGCAACCCTCACTGTTCTGACAGCCAACAATAGCTCCAGACATTGCCAAATGCCTGCCAGGTGGTAGTCCTAGGTTGAGAACCATTGCCTCTAATTTTTTTTTTCTGTTTTGTTTTGAATTTGCTATAGCGCGCCTGCACTCATTAGAGACAGAAAAACAGAGAAAGAGGGAAAGTGTGAAAGTACTCCTTAGAGGAGAGAGCTATGCTGAAGTCTTTTCTCTATTCTTCTCTTGGGATTTTGGGCGCACACATCCATGCAACTGGCATGGTTTTCAAGCCTCTGAGTCTAGTACTCTAACCCTGCAGTTAGCCACATAGGATCCAACTGCCTTAACCACCATGCCGCTGGCTGGCCTGATATTTCTTTTCTTTTACTTTTTAAAAATGTCTCTTCTTCCTCAACCTTCTTTCAATAATATCTCATTCTATCTTTCCTTCAGAGAGTTAAGGCACTTAAAAAGAACTTGTGACCTAGTACATCTCACCCCTCCCAGTGAATTTACATTTTAGATATCACAGAGTGAAGATGGCCATGAATAATCCAAAAGAATAATGGGTTTTAGTGGGAGAGGTAACTTGGGGCACATTCTTGATAGGCTTTAATCCATTCTATGTAAACTTAAACATGGGTTGGTTCTCGTCAACTTCTTGCTTTTATTTTTTTTAAGAATTATTTATTTAAGGGCTTGATCCTTGATCCTTGTGCCACTGGGCACATGTGCACATGTGCTGAAAATTCTGACAGGATGGAGAACTGAAGAAGAGATGAACATATCTCCCTGGAAGGGGCTGCTTTCTCCTTCCCTCTCTCTCTGGCAAGCACATGTGCCCTCTGGCAATAAAACCCCCACAACATCAAAAAACAAAAAGAAAGGCAAAGAATGGTTAAAGATAAAGAAAAATGAAATGATTTAGGAAAAGTGAAGTTTTTTTTTTTTTTTGTGAAGTTTGTTTTTTAAAAACTGCTGTCTAGGGGCCAGCAAGTGGTGTGGTGGTCAGGGCGCTAAACTCCCACATGGCCAACCATGGTAAGGTCCCAGAACTGGTGGCTTAGCTTTCTCATTTTCTCTCTCTCTCTCTTTCTATCTTTCTGTGGTGACTACAGTTAATTAAAAAAAAAAAAAGATAAATAAAATAAAATAAATATTTTTAAAAATACTATATTTGTTGAATTTTAATTTAATTTATAGTAATAAATTATTTATTATTATTATTAGTTTAAATTTGCTATAGGGCATGTGCACTCACTAGGAGAGACAGAGAGACAGAGAAGAGAGACAGAGAGAGGAAAAATGAGAAAGCAAGCTGCCAGATCTGGAACTGGAACTGGAGTCAGCCATGTGGGTGTCTAGTTCTTAACCACCATATCACCTTCTGGATGTGCTCACTACAGAGACAAAGACAGACAGAGAAACAGAAAGTGAGAAATCAACCACCAAGGGATAGCCCACATTGCAATTTCTTCTCTTTCATTCTCCTCTTGGGATCTTGGATGCACACACACACGTGCCCAGGATAAGTTTAAGTTACTGGGTCCAGGACTTGAACCTTGATCAACTATGTAAAAGTCCAGCAACATAACCATCACACCATCTGCCAGTCCCAAAATACTAATTTTTTTTTTTTTTTGGGGGGGTTTTTGCTTTTTGGGTGCATTCGCCAGAAAAACAGAGACAGAGAGACAGAAAGTGAGAAATCACCCCCCGGGTGATGGCCACACCACAATCCCTTCTCCTCCATTCTCCTCTTATGATCTTGGGTACGCATGCACACGTGCCTGGTGTGAGTTTAAGCCACCAGGTCCGAGACTCAAACCACGGTCGTACATGGGAGTCCAGCGACATAGCCATTACGCTAACTGCTGGTCCCCCAAAATACTAATTTTTAATTGCACAAGCAATCTACGTTCAATGTAGAAAATCCAGAACATGCAAGTAAGCAAAAAAGAAGACAGTTTGGGGGACCAGCAAATGGCGTAATGGCTATGTTGCTGGACTCCCATGTAGTTGACAGTGGTTTGAGTTCTGGATCCAGTGGCTTAAACTCACACTGGTGCCTGTGCCTGCATGCCCAAGATTCCAAGAGGAAAATGGAGGAGAAGGGATTGTGGTGTGGCCATCCCCCCTGGGGGATGATTTTTTGCTTTCTGTTTCTCTGTCTCTCTCTGTCTTTCATGAGCCATAATAGCAAAAAGTCTCAAAAAAAAAAAAAAAAAAAAAAAAAAAAAAAAAAAAAAAAAAAAAAATTAAAGCCCACAGGAACATCACCTGGAAACCCTCAAATACTCACAATGAAATATCGTGGCGTAGGGGCCAAAAGGTGGCAGGTAGTTGGGGTGTCATGACCAACCACTGTCCCAGACCTGGCAGCTTGCTTTCTCACTTTCTCTCTCTCTTGAATAATAATAATAATAATAAATAACTCTTTTAAAAAGCAAAATAAATTAATATTGTGGTCTAAAGACTCCCAAACTTGGAGCCAGCAGGTAGCATGGAGGTTGAGGCACAGGAACCTGCATGACCAGCTTCGTGGGTTCAAGAAGCTTCAGCTTCACGACTTGAGAATCATGCCATCTGCATGTGTACCCAGAATCCCTGGAGGAGAGGGGATTACAGCATGGCCATTCCCCCTGGGAAGTGATATCTCACTTTCTCTCTCTCTTTTTGGCATGTATATGTGTTCTATAGCAAGAAAACAAAACAAAACAAAAAAACTCCCAAACTTTTTTATAGTAGTAATACATGGAGGTCTGTATGGAGAGGTCGAGATATACATACTTGCTCATGTACACACACACTCCCCCAATGAGAGCCTAGTGTAATACTTATTTTGTCTGCCTTTTCCCTCATTCAACAATATATTAAAAACATTATTCCATGTTATTCAATTATATATCTGAAATGGTTATTAATAGCTGCTTTTGTGGTGACTAAATAGGGCTGCAGGAAAAGCGATGAAATGAGAGATAAGTGAGGTTCCAAACGGTGCCTCCCAGTCACAGGGGAAACTAGAGAGCAGAGATATCAGCATGACTCTTTACTTGAGGAAATTACAAAATATTGAAAAAGAAAAGGATGAGGTCACAGGAAAGACTGGGAGGAGGAGGTATTTGTACGGCATGTGGAAAAACTCAATTTACACTCCTCCTGTAGCCAGCACAGGGTCCCCCAGATTTGCAGGCAGAGAAACACAGTACATCCCTTCAGTTCACTGCCGGATATAACCTTTGTCTAAAGAAAACCACCCTCTGAAAAGGTAATTAGAGCTCTCAGTGACAAACGTGAACTGCTCTCTTCATTTCCCCAGGAGATTTGATAGGAGGGCCTTGTCAGCACACACAGACTTTGAGTCATTTAGGAAGAGGGCTCTCCCCTTCCTGCTGCCTCTTCCTCCAGACTGTGACCCTGTACAAGGCTCACTTGGGAGAAGAACATTGGTCTTTGCAGGCCCCTATGCTGGCCCTAGGCCAGGGACCTTTTTGCAGAGAAGTACCTGCACAATTTCACACGATGACTTGCTCTGATACGGTGCTTACTGATTTACTTGCATAGGGCAGATGCAAAAATAATGTAAACTCTCCATTTCCTACTGCCACTCTGCCCAGTTCAAGAATGCCTCTACCCCACTCCACCCAACCATTCCTCCCAACTAGGACAGTGCATACAGCTCATCCTGTAAGGCTTCGCTCCATAGCAATACATTGTTTCATTTAAAAAATAATTATTTACTCAACTCTGTTTATTTTTTTGAGAGTTTTTGTTTGTTTGTTTGTTTGTTTTGCTATAGGGCACATGCACTTGCCAGAAAGACAGAGAAAGAAAGAGAGACTGAAAGCAAGAAATCACCACCCTGGGGAATGGTCACACCACATTCCCTTCTCCTCCATTCTCTTCTCAGGATCTTGGGCACGTACGCACATGCACCCCCCGTGAGTTTAAGCACCAGATCCAGGACTCGAACTGCAGTCGACTACATGGGAGTTCAGTGACGTAGCATTTATGCCATCTGCTGGTCCCAATTTTGTTTATTATTATAATTTTTAAATTTGCTATAGAGCACATGCACTCACCAGAAAGAGACGGAGAGGGAAAATGAGAAAGCAAACCAGGAGATCCAGGACTTGAACTGTAGTCAGCCATGTGGAAGTCCAGCCACCACCCAAACATCACACCACCTGCTAGACCCAATACATTATTTTATAATTACTATTTTTAGAGTGTTTTTCTTTATCCCATGGTAGAGCACTCACATGAGAATGAGAGTGAGAGAGATAAACACACTCCACAGAGCCCACTCTGAAGTATTTGGGGCCACAACTTGAGAAAATTAATCTTGTGGTTACCCATGACATAAATTGGCATGGAAGAACTAAAGAAAAATATAATAGTTGCATGAAAACAGTGACCTTGTTCTCAGCAATTATACCCTTGTGTTTAACACATTTCCTGTCAAATGAGAGACCCAGATTCAAGATGTTAACTTAAGATTTGGAAGAAATAGAGATTAAAGATTTGCAGAGAAGTTTTTGCTAATGAAACAAAATCCCAGAGATATGGATGAAGCAGGTATCAAAAAATGCAAGTAGAGGCCCAGGCCAGGTAGAGCCCAAAGCTCTGCAATGCTGGAAGCCAACTAGTTCCTAGCTGACTTGTACAGGTTGGTTGTGCACCTGTCGGTGATCCAGGCTGGCATGAAATTCTGTTAAGGGTTTTTCCCTCTCTCTCTTTCTTATGAAAAGAGAGAGAGAGAAAGAGGGAAAGGAAGAAAATAAAAATGAAAACAAACAAAGGAATGCAAATTGAGGTAAATTTCCTTTTCACTTCCTGAGTACCTAGAACAACACCTGCACAGAGTAGGTGCTCCCCTTAAATGTTTGAACAAGTTAACGTGCAAAATCACATGGATATAAGGGTGAATTTTCCATGGGAGGAGCCCTGTAGCTTTGTCAACCTTGGAGGAGTCTTAGGCCTTGGAAGGGTTTAAAATCATTTGATCTAAGAGCGAGCAGGTGGGGTGATAGTTGAGGTGCTGGACTCCCACATGACTGACTGCTGTTCGAGTCCTGGACCTGGTGGTTTGTTTTCTCACTTTCCCTCTCTCTCTGATGAGCGCACATGTTTTATAGTAAGTAAAAAAATAATGATAATAAATAAGATTTTTAAAAACCAATCAATCCAGGCAGAGACATAAAACTTATTTGAAAACAATGTTGAGAATTGGTTATTCTAATTCTGGAGCATGGCCAGACCTGAGCATCTGGAATTATCTACAGTGCTTAAAACAAATGCAAATGGAGAGAAGTCTATAACTTCTTTTTCAAAAAGGATTTGTAATGGAAAAAAGAATGAAGGGAAGACTGGTGGAGGAACTCTTAGGGATATAATCAATGAAGTCATCTGCAGAGTAAAGAAGACATAGGTGAGCCAGCAGATGGCATGGTGGTTATGGAAGCTGGATCCCATATGGTCCACAGTCTGGTTCTAGTCCTGGACCTTGTGGCTTGAAAAACATTTGGAGTGGGACCAGCAGATGGCGAAATGGTTAAGTTGCTGGACTCCCAGGTAGTCAACTGCAGTTCAAGTCCCAGATCTGGCAGCTTAAAACTCACATCAGGCACGTGTGCATGCATGCCCAGAATTCCAAGAGGAGAATAGAGGAGAAGGGATTGCAGAGTTGTCATTCCCCCTGGTGGAGGGGAGGATAATTTCTTGCTTTCTCTCTCTCTGTCTAGGGCAGGCTCCCTATAGCAAAATTCTAAGAAAAAAAAACAAAAAGAAAAACATTTGGAGCACATGTCCAAGAGGAGAATGGAAGAGAAAGGATTGCGGTGCAGCCGTCCAAAACCACCTTCCCCAGAACATACTTTCAATTTCTCTTTTTACACATACACACACACACCCAAAAAACCCAAAACAAAACAAAACACCCATCTAGCACATGCACCCTATGGACTCTATAGCAAGGAAAAAAAAAAAAAAAGACAGGGATGTATCCAGGGTTTGTGTAGAACCTCCAACTTTGTCTAAAGGCATTCCTTGAAAATAAGAATTGTACACTTTCCATAGCGAATACCCTGTTCAGAAATGAAGTCCCAAGAAACACTGAACTATGTTGTGCCTAGGAGGAAAGAAGAGTCACATAAAAGTCCTTCCTAGGAGTCCATAGCAACTTAATTTTTAAATTGCCCTCCGAGTATGAAATTGCTATTAATTAGTTCAAAAGTAATTCTGGGAGCTGGCAGGTGGCATAGTGGTTAAGGTGTGTACTCCCATATGGTGAAATGCGATTCTAGTCCTGGACCTGGTGGCTTGTTTTCATGCTCTCTCCTTCTTGTCCCTCTCTAGTCAAACTGAATAATAATAATAATTAATAAATCATTCTTTTAAAAAGGGTTTTTTTTTTTTTTAGATGTTTTTGCTATAAGGCATGTATGCTCGCAAGAAAGACAGAGAGAGACAGAGAGACGGAAAGCGAGAAATCATCCCCCAGGGGGGATGGCCATGCAGCAATTCCTTCTCCTCCAATCCCTCTCAGGATCTTGGGCACCCATGCACACGCGCTGAGTGTAAGTTTATAAGCCACTGGGTCCAGAACTTGAACAACAGTCGACTACATGGGAGTCCAGCAACATAGCCACTGCCAACTGCTTGTCCCTTGAAAAGGTATTTTAGGGCCAGTAGGTTGCGCGGTGGTTAAGGTGCTGGAATTCCCACATGGTCAACTACGGTTCGAGTCCCGGACCTGGTTGCTTTCTCACTCTGTGTTTCTCTGGCAAAACTCATGTGAAAAATAATAATAAATAAATATATAAATCTTAATTTTTTTTTTTTTTAAAAAGGGAACTCTGCCATTCTATGATAAGCCTTGAATCCTATGAAGATAACACTTGCTAACTAAGCGAGCAGAGGCCCAGGAGAGTGGTGGGCGTGGCCAACTAAGGAAGGCGGAGGCCGCGCCCCCTTCCCAGAGTGCACCGCAGCAGTGGCCGGCAGGGTTCTCTTTCTCTTCGGCTCTGGCGGGGCTCGGAGGCCCTACAGCCATGGATGGACTCCGGACTAGTGCAGCGCTCTTGAGACGTGGGCGGCCGAGGCGCCGGCGCCAGCCCCAGTCACACAGCGGGTCGGTCCTGGCCCTGTCCTTAAGGCCCAGGAAGATCCGAAGGCAGCTCAGAAGAAACGTGGCGTCCCGAATGGCTGCGCTGAGAACCCAGACGCTCCCGAGCGAGGACTCGGAGGACTCGAGGGTAGAGTCGACCGCCGACAATCTGGGGGACGCGCTGCCTGGAGGGGTGACGGCGACGGTCCCGGACGCGGCCCGGCGAGAGCCGTACGGCCCCTCGGGGCCTGCAGAGCTGCTGGAGGCCTTACCCGCCGCGCGCTCCCTGCAGACCCCGCCCGCACGCCTGGTGGAAGTGCCCGCAGCGCCGGCCCGCGCGGTGGAGACCTCGGCCCTGTTGTGCACTGCCCAGCACTTGGCGGGCGCCCCACCCTCCGGGACCGCTGCGACGCTGTCTGGGCCACAGGTGGATAACGCGGGTGGCGAGCCGACCTGGGACTCCCCATTGCACCGCGTCTTGGCGGAGCTGCACCGCATCCACAGTAGCCGGCGGCGGGCGGCGCGC